TTTAGCCAAAATCTCCGCAGGCTGATGTGATGCATGAGTGGGCATGTTGTGTGATAAAGCTGCCAGTCACCAGTTGCCCACAGCTGTGACCATTTTTGATATATTACATATCTTAACCAATGAAGAAAACTGAGGTAATACTTCTTATTAATTGGCCTAGAGAGGCAACTCGTGATGGACAACACATTGCCAGTCAAAAAACAGTTAACATGGTCTTGATCTTGCTGCTTCTTTGCTGTGCCTTCTTCAGGAATGAAAAACCAGGCAACTTTCATTGGGACTGCTGGCCCTTCACTTCTGGATCACAGCCATAGATCCACAATTCACCTCTGGTTATGACCTTTCTGAGGAAATCTGGTTCATTGGTAGCAATTTGAGTCAAGTCATTAGCAACTGCAACACAATGTTCCTTCTGCTCTGGTAGCAAAAGCTAAGGAATGAATTTTACCACAACATGTGTATGCCAAGATCCTGCATCAAAATGTTGGACACAGTAGTTTTAGAATTCCCAGATCAGCTTCTAGTTCTCACACTGTCAGTTGCTGATCTTTGTTGATTGCAGCCCATAGACGTTCAACATTCTCAGATGTTCTGCTTGTTACAGGCCTTCCAGGATGTGGATCACTTTAAATAGATTCTTGACCATCTTTGAAGAATTTGTGCCACACTTTTATTTGTGCTGCATTCACTGAATCATCCCTAAAAGTCTTCTGAATCAACTAAATAGTTTCCATGGAGGAATGTTTAAGCTTAACACAAAATTTGTTGCAGATTCATTGTTCTACTTTGCTCAGTCATTTTGAATGTAAGGGCAACACAGTACACATGCTCACTCAAAGGTGTCTACCACCCCCACCGACTAGTACTGTGAAGTCACTGCTCATGCATGTACATTCCAATACAATTTCCTTGGCCGACAGGTTACACCAATGTCATGCAACTCTAGCTCCTTGTATTAAAGATAGCTGGACTTTTTCCAGACAGACCTTATATGTCACAGCATCAAACCATAGCTCCACTCCCCACAAAATTTTCTGTTTACTTGAAAATAAGAGAATTCTGCTCTAACCAGTGAGAGAGGGCAGTTAGACTGTAAACAAGTCATCTCAAAAAGGTAAGAAGATGCCCTGGTTGGTGTGGCAAACTGAAGGGTGGCTGATTCGATTCCTAGTCAGGGCACATGTCTGGGTTGCAGGCCAGCTCCCCAGTGCGGGTGCTTGAGAGGCAACTACTCATTGATGTTTCTCTGTCTCCTTCTCCCTCCCTTCTCTTTGTCTAGAAATGGATAAATAAATTCTTAAAAAACATTAAAAGAAAAGTAAGAAACAGAAAACCTTGAAGAATAATTAAGTACGTAGGAAAATGTTAGCTGACCATTTATGGAAATCATATAACTAAACTTAGGTAATCATTTCATAATAAATGTAATTCAAATCATATAGTATACCTTAAACTTATACATGGCTGTATATTAATTATAAACCAATAAAATGGGAAAATAAATTAATTAAATAAAATGCAAAGAATTTAAATGGAGATTTATGATTTTATTCAGTTTATTCTATTTTATCATATCATTTGTCATACTATTAATATACTTTTAATATACTCTATAATTTCCTTTTTATATATGTGTGTATGTGTAGAGACAAACTACATTTTCTGTTCCTAACTCAAGAGTCTGAGGAAAAGGATTTCTGTCTGTTCATTTGCTGATAAACACACACTGCTTGCCACACAACTTCTCAAGGAATATATGTTAAGTTAATTTGACATTTTCATCTTTTCTATTTCTCTTCATCATTCTTGACAGGATTTTGAACATTTTATCCATTTTTTCAAATCCTCTCTGTCTTACATTTGTATTCTATTCCATTAATTTGCATTATTAGCTAATTAGTTTCTAACATAAAGGTTTAGTCTACAAGTTTTTTTCTAAGTGTTCACTTACCTAAATCCCATAAGACTTTATGCATTACTATTTATTTAAAGCATTTTCTAATTTGATTGTGATTTTTTTATTGGAAGATGGGAAGAATGAATTACTAATTGTGTCCATCTCCTACCCAATAGGGATTATTTTAGTTTATGTCTCATAATTGGTTTCCAGTGAAATTCAGAAGAGATTACCTATGTTACTTTAATTCATTAAAATGACCCAAATTTTCTCAATGTTTAAGGATATACATTTTTTTGTAAATGTCTGCAATTGGTAACACAGTGTTACATTTGCCCATTAGGTTCAGATTACTTACCAATTAAGTTGTTCAAATATCCAGCATCTTAACTAATCACAGTGAATTAAATTATTTGGTGTGTGCCTGAAATACTCTTAATTGTGTATAAATAGTAAATATACTCATTAGAATGTAAACAAAAACAAAAACATATTTGTTTGCCAAAGGAACCTCTGTATCAATGGCAAGTATATGCTCAAATCAGATTTTAGAGTTCTCAGATAAAGAATTACTATCTCCTTTAACTATGTCTTATATTTAAGACATAGTATTTATATTCTAAAGCAATAAATAACATTCTAATTTTTCTGCTAGATTTTGCTTTCAGAGTCTACACTGACAAACAGAAAATTAAAGCAATAGTTGCATTTGTTTGTAAAGAATTATTTTCTTCTCTTTCACCAGAGATGTTCTATGCCTTTAAAAATAGTTGAATTTCTAAATTCTTTCTTCTACTCCTACATAGCATATTTCTACCTAATGATATTTCAGAAGTTTTCTTAGAACTATGATATATGTTCAGCCTTCACTTAGAATTCTCAAAACAAACAAACAAACAAACAAACCCCCAAACTGCAGAACTTAAGCTTAAATTCATGGTTGGTTGCCAGCCAAATTTCTGCAATCAGTTACTGTGGTGATTAATTTTCTTTTCTTTTTTATATTTCTGTGTCTAATTAGAGATCAAACTCCACAGTATACTCAGAATAAATTATTGCACTCTTAAGCCAGATAGATTTTAGCCCCTTATAACTAAAATATAACATTTAAGACAATAAAATGGGATAAATGTTTAAATACATAATAAAAATAAGCAATGATGTAAAAAAAGAACTCACACTCATGTAATGAGAACCAGGATACAAACGTGAGTTATTTTTGGAGGGAGAGGCCTGGAGGGAGAAAGAGAGAAACATCGATGTGAGAGAGAAACTGGTTGACTCCTGTGTGTGCCCCAACCAGGGATCAAACCCATAACATTTTGGGGTGGGTTCATAACCTACGGTACAACACTTCAACCAACTGAGGCAACCCAGCCAGGGAAAAAGTTCTCTTCTTCCTGTGTAATATCTGGAACTAATTCAACTTTCTTATTCTAGTATTACTGACATAAGTAGGCCCACTAAAAACTTAAAGTGATTCGGCAGTCAGTTCACCATAATGCATCTCTAGTACAAACTTCCCTTCAAAAGCTTATGATTAATTTTGTTTTTATTTTCCATACAAAAGAACTGCCAAGACAGCAAATTTCAGTACATTTCTGACCCTCTTAATAAATCAACATACTTTTCCAAACACACAGAGAAGACTCCTAGATATTTTCACATTAGACCATAAATACAAAAAGTTCAAGAAAAATTTAGACAGAAATAAATTAATACTTTAAGTACTAAAAAGATTTTATTAAATTATGTCTTAGAAAAGCAATCATTACTACTTGAGTTTTATTTAAACTCAAGAGAATATCTGCTCTGTTGGACCAATAAACTAATATATTTGTATGATATCTAAATGAAAATGCCAATGGAAAATATGTAAAAACATTTGATGAAAAAACAAATACATCAGAAAATACTAAATAAGGTAGAGATAAATATTAAAATTAGTACAAAATTTGAGATTAGCCAAACATTTTTACTCAGTTCATATGATAATAATGGATATTGTAAAACAAAAAAGAATAAATAATTGAAGGAACAAACAGTCATATAAATAGGATATGTATAACTTTTTTTTTAAAGATTCAGTTTTCTACAGAAGTGGTATGGTAGCTAGGCAAAGCAGTGGTTCATAAGTCAAAGTATGTGGGTCCTGGGACCAACTCAGTAGACGCTAGTTTGATGAACTTTGACAAAATCTTAACCACTGTTGTGCATGACTCCATCTGCAGAATACACTAACAATATCTGGCCCACTAAACCCTCAGGGCTTCTGTATATTCACTGGAGACTAACAGATAAAAGGGCTTTGGAGCTTTAGAGTTCTATATAAATGTGATCTCTTCTTATACTGAAGTTATTGTTGATACTCCAGATGTGGTTTCAAGAGACAGAAAAAGATCAAACTGTAATATACTAGCTCAGAAAGTGTTACTAGTATATTGCAATACTTTATCAACCTTTATTTTGACAATTTGTATTCACCTCATTTGCAATGAAATGAGGCAACAACTGGACTGTATTACATAATTTTACAGACTTACCTGAATGGGCACATATGGCCCATTAGCTAAGGATATTTTAATGGCTCTGTTTATTATGAGTCAATCTCCTACAATAATATTACATAGCTAATATGTATCTCCTTTAGGAGGTCACTTTGTCTATTTTATGTAATATCCAGGTATTCATTTTTGGTTTCTAAACAACTGATCAAACTCAAAATTTATACAAAGGAATGACAACTCCCTGAAATGCATCAAAGCAAAGAGGTGTTAGCCCTGCAAGAACTGGTTCTGTTGGATGTTTTACTTGTTTTTTTTCTGAAACATTTTTCACATGGAAAGTATTTGTTTCCATTCTGTTTGTTTTTGAAGACACCTGTTTTCTAATTTATCTCCAATTACTTCATACATCAAACTATCAATGGGCTTTCAATGAATTCTGGTTCTAAATTAAGCACTGAGAGAGAAAAAGTAATGCATTTTTAATAGTCAAATAACCCTACCTGCGCCAGGGCTGAGCTATATACGTACTCCGTACATTTCAGCCATTTACACACCACATAAGGCAGTGCGGGACAAAGGAAAAAGGAAGGAAACACTTTCACTTACTGCACATGAAGGTAGTATCATCTGAATCATCAGCACAATCGTTCGCAAAATCACACAACTTGCCCTGTGCAATGCAGTGCTTATTAGCATATATATGAATTCTTGAGCAGTACATTTCCTGTCTGGGCTGAGGAATGGAGTACAATTTTGAAAGGAAATGTCATCCTCTGCTACATCCCACATGTAACGGACACTGTGTTTTGCCCTGAAGACAATCTAAAGAGAGAAAGAGATGATAAGAGCTAGAGCTACAGCTAGAAAAGGAAGGAAGGAAAGAAGGAAGGGAAGGAGGGAGCGAGCGGAGGAGGAGGGAGGGAAGAAAGGAAAGGAAGGAAGAGAGAAAACCTGTGTCAATTGAGCTGTCCATCAAGAATTCAAAACTTGGAGCAACCACTAAATATAGGACATTAGACTTGAATCTGATAAAAATGCTTCATAATGAAACTGACCCAGGAAGCTTGAGGGTCATTTAGATCTGCACCATCCTCAACATCTAAGAATGTGGGAGTGGTAATGCCACCACCTCTTATCTAGATTTATGGGACAGGTGGCCTAGAAAACTGACAGGAGTCACCAACCCACCACTGCAGCTCTCAGGTCCAAAAGAAAACCCCTGTATTTCTAGAACCTCGGCATTCATGGAGGCAGGGGGCCAGTCCAGTGGTGGAATGTACCAAGAAAAAAAAGATGCAAGCACATCCTTGACTCTGCTTTGCCCAATTCTTACCATTCTTCTGTTCTGTCCACCCCTAGTATTTAAAAGCAAAAAGTTATCAAACCTCAATACCATGAATTTTTTTTAATTGCTCACATCCTTAGAACTGATGTTATTTTGATTTACCTTTGATTAATATTATATGATGAACACAACTCTCATGTGCCTTATCGTTTGGCAGTGAGCTCCCACTGATGTGGACTCCTATTGAGTCAGAAGTGATGAAAAGTAACAGGAGTCAGTAAAGTTGTCAGGAAGGTTACCTTCTGCTTGTGACATCACCACTGCCCAGAATAATAATAAACACAATTTCATAGAATATAAAATGTTACAAATCATTCAGAGTCAGGTTTCTAAGTGAAACTAACTCAGAGTTTCTCTGCAGGCTCAACATGTATTTGTGTGTTCATGTGAAAAATTCTCACATTTTAAAGTATATTTACAACAATTAGAAATCAGTTAACAAGAAATTTCAGAGTTACTTCAGTGATTTTACACAAAATAGTTATTGTGATAAACCTCCCAAACATCTTTTGACCAAATTTATAGCATTATTTTTCTTGAAATAAATCATTATATATTTTTAATATGTTATGCTTTCATACTACTGTGTAAAAAGCTGGGTGATTTTCTTTTAAAATGAGTTGAAAATCATCTGCCACCAATTATAAAAAAATAAAAATAAAAACACAATTTGTATGTAAATTCCTACATCAAATTTACATAACAGGTATAAATTGTTGTTCTTCATAGCAAATGTGCTAAAAATAAATTTAGAAAATTTATGAAGAGTTTGGAAGTGATTAGAGAGATAAAACTGGAAAAAATAATGAGTACAACTTTCTTATAAGGTAAATTGAATCCTAGAAAAACAGTGATGCACAAACTGAAAAACAGACTCTATTCTCTGGATACATGTAAACATTTAAATATGAGATGCAATGCATTGTGAATAAGAAATCAGAAACCTCAATGGGTGCTATAACAGGTTAACACTCTTACTAAATTTAATAAATTTATTTTTGGCACATTTGTTATGAAGAACAACAATTTATCCTTGCTATCTAAAGAAGACTCGTGGGCATGGACAATGGGGGGGACTGATGGTGGGAGCGGAGGGTAGAGGAGAGCAAGGGGGGAAAAGGCGGGAGAACTGTGACCGTAGAATGATTTAAAAAGTAAAATAAAATCAACAAGCACTAAAAAAAGATTCCATAGACTTTGATATTAAATGTGATTAAACTTTTTAAGAAGAGTAATTATGATATTTTTTTCCTGGCAGAAGAAACCCAGGGCCAATTATTTTGTAAAATTGGGAAGACAATAGAGCATAGCAGGTAGATTATGGATTTGCAGATGACTCTCACCTGTGTCAGAGCTGGTAGTTATTCCTGTATTCTAATCTATAAAATGATGATAATAATAGTGTGTACCTTGTACAGTTATTGTGAAAACTGAAGGAATAAGTATTTTTAAGTCACAGAATAGTACTTAGCACTTAGTAAGCATTATGTATGTGATCGCTGCAGTTATAAAAATTATTATAATTAAAGATTCTCTTTAAATTTGCAGGTTCCCAGATAAAACTCTGAAAACCACCTAGTGTTGATTTAGCATATAATTTCTAGAAATATCTTTTACTCAGGGGCCAGAGCCATTCTCTCTCTGAGACTTAAAGGGCATGGTATTGCAAACACGCAAGAATCACAGACGGTATTCCAGATCATCACTCTAGCCCCACTGCATAGTACTTTGCTTTTCACATAGTAGGTGCTTAGTAAGTTTTTAATGAAAGAATAAGTGGATCATATTTTATTTTTTCACCTTTTTTAAAAACATTTTTTATTTATTGATTATACCATTACTTTTGTTCTATTCCCCCCTTCATTCCCTCCCTTTAGTTCATGACCATGTGTCTCAAGTTCTTTAGATTCTATATTTCCCCTACTATTCTTACCCTGCCCCCTATCTATTTTGTATCTACAGTCTATGCTACTTATTTTCTGTACCTTCTCCCCCCTTCTCCTTCTCCCACTCCCCTGTTGCTAACCCTCCTTGAGATCTTCATTTCTGTTTCTGCTCCTGACCTAGCTGTCCTCTTAGTTTGCTTTTGTTTTAGGTGTGGTTCTTAATAACTGTGAGTTTGCTGTCCTTCCACTGTTCATATTTTTTATCTTCTTTTTTTAGATAAGTCTCTTTAACAATTCATATAATAATGGCTTGGTGATGATGAACTCCTTGAATTTGATCTTGTCTGAGAAGTACTTTATCTGCCCTTCCATTCTAAATGAAAGCTTTGCTGGATAGAGCAATTTTGGTTGTAGGTCTTTGGTTTTCATTACTTGGAATACTTCTTTCCAGCCCCTTCTTGCCTGTAAGGTCTCTTTTGAGAAATCAGCTGGCAGTCTGATGGGAACTCCTTTGAAAGAGACTGTCCCCTTACCTCTTGCTGCTTCTAGAATTCTCTCCTTCATTTTAATTTTGGCTAATGTAATGATGATGTGCCTTGGTGTGTTCCTTCTTGGGTCCAAGTTCTTTGGGACTCTCTGAGCTTCCTGGATGTCCTGGAAGTCTATTTCCTTTGCCAGATTGGGGAAGTTCTCCTTTATTATTCATTCAAATAAGTTTTCCACTTGTTGCTCTTCCTCTTCCCCTTCTGGTACCCCTATAATTCAGATGTTGGAGTATTTAAAGATGTCCTAAAGGTTCCTAAACCTCTCCTCCTTTTTTTGAATTCTTGTTTCTTCATCCTTTTCTGTTTGGTCATTTTTTTCCTCTTTCTGGTCCACTCCTTTGTTTTGAGTCCCAGTTTCCTTCCCATCACTATTGGTTTTCTGTGCATTTCCCTTCATTTCCCTTCATTTTTAGTTTAGCCTTCATATGTTCCTCTAATTTGTGGCTAAAGTCAACCAGTTCTGTGAGCATCCTGATCACCAGTGTTTTGAACTGTGCATCTGAAAGTTTGGCTATTTCTTCATTGCTTAGAGTTATTGGCTCTGGGGCTCTGAGTTGTTCTTGAGCCATGTTTTGATCTGTTCACACCTGTTACATATGAGGAGCGGAGCCTTAGTTGTTCACCAGGGCAAGGCCACCCAGGTCGCTGGTTTGTGATGCTGGATGTGGGGGCAGGGTCAGAGCGGGAGCAATGGCGGTCCTCTCTGCTCCCTCCCCCCCATTTATCTGGGCACAAATGTGCGACTGCAGTCAGCCTGCTGCCTTGAGCTGGGGCCTGCGCAATTTGTCTCAATGCTCATCTCTTCACTGGTTTATCTGCACACAAATGCACAACCTAGGTCAGCCTGCCTGCCTTCCCCATGCCTTTCCTGGGTCTGCTTGTCGCTACCCCGCACCTGGGATCCGCATCCTCGGCTGCCTTAGAGCCTGGGTGGGGTAGGGGGATCTTTTTTGCCCAACCTGCTCTGCTGCTGTCTCCGCCCCTCTCACCAGTTTAGCTGAGCGGTTTGTTATTGTCGGACTCCATTTTGTTTGATTTTCTGTGGCTTGGCTGTGTTTATTGTTGTTAAAACTTTGTTGATTTTAGATTTGTTTGTGCGAGGAGGTAAAGTGTTTCCACTTATGCCTCCATCTTGGTGGAAGTCCCCTGCATCATATTTTAAAAGAGACATAAGCAACATGGGCATATTTCTCTTCAATCAAATTTTAATGTGAAAAATTAAATTTTGGAAGGGTACATTAGTAATTCTTTCCTCCCGCTTTACATCCTCATTTTATGTTATTTTGAAGGATGTTATTATACAAACATTCTACTTACACAAAACTAGTTAAGATTTCATTTCCTCCAGTGAAAGTGTATGTATAGCAGCAGTAAAACCTTCTACTTGTTGTTGAGGGTTGTCCTGCCTCAGGTAAAGATCTTCGAGTTTGAACAAGCAGACTTTATTTAATAATAAATTTGATATTGTGCAAAGCCATTAAATTCCTATCCAAAATTTACTTCTTCAGGCTGAACTTATCTCTTATTCATTTCCTAAATTATCTACAAATAGCCCATAAGAAAACTGGTTCTAGTGAGAGGCCAAAAACATATGACATTTATTACACCTGTCATTCCCAAAAATGGGGATAGTGCTCTCTCAGTGCCCTTCTACAGCTGTGCGTAGCCTGTGCTTCCCCTGGTGCTGAGAGGGGCCGGCCCATCAGAAAGAGCACGTGATGGTTACTGAGTAGCACACAGCACACAGACAGGGTTATTGAGTATACATGGCAGAACTGGCTACTTCTGCTGTATACACAGAGGGCTGGAAATGTAATAATTAGCAAATATAATCTTTTTCCAGAGATAAGATCTTCTAAATTCATAGAATCAAGCCCTGTAGCATTAAGACTAATAGATACTTGCCTCATTTTCTAAGAAAATCCCCTTTCTGCCAAAAAAAGGTTTAAGCCATAAATGCATTCATGGAGCTCTTGTTTTCTTGATGATCCATATCAAATATATTGACACATAGCTATATTTTCTTTGCACATTTTAATCTATGTTCTCTTTTTTAATTGTTAGATATACACAGGTCTTATGCTCCTAATATTATTATAATCTACATGAAGACAAACACATCACATAGTATTCTTTCTCCTCGAAAATGTTTTAGAGTTAAGTAAATCTATTATCTCTAGTAACATTCAACAATATAATCTGTTTCTTAAAGTCTTTCCCTTTAATCAATTTTTAAATAAATTAACTAAAGTGATTAGAGTCTCTGGGAGTATATTTATGAACTAGAGGGAGGTGTTCTTTATATATGGGACAGTGATTGTAGAAGGGAAGATAGTTATCATTAAAATTAAATGTCCCTTGAAGCATGGAAGAAATGAGAACATTCTGGAATTGTAAATTCCTATGGAAAATTATGTATTCATACAACACATCAGAAATGGAATGAGAGGACAAGACTATGATGGAGAAAATAGAGAGTAAAGAAAAAATTAACAAATCTCCTTTACTACCTACGTGTTTGGATTACAAACCTGTGTTTCTGAATGAATGCCTAACAACACTTCATTTTTCCTCTGTGCACCTTGCTCTCCACTTTGAGCCCACAGTTTAGAAGTAACATTGTCTTTCTTGCTGAGTACCTACAGAGAGAAGTCAGGTAAGAAAGCGCTGGAATATTCTGTCTTGATAAATTTTAAATATGTATAATTTTTCAGTTTAAAATTTTTTAAATATGAACACTTTGTAACTTCTGATACAAAGTTAAAACATTTTTCATTAGATGTCTTTGTTTTCTCCACAGCACTGGGTTTCCAGGGTACCTCACAAGGTTTGCATAATAAAAGTGAGCCCGAATATCTATCAGCCAAGTTCAAGTGTATCATTTAATTAAGAACTCTACATTAGCTTTTTGAAAATCTGACAGCAGTCGCCCTCGCTGGATACAGCAGCACCCTAATACACTAAGGTCATGGATTCAATCCCTGGTCAGGGTATATATATAAGAAAAAAAACAATGAATGCATAAATAAGTAGAACAAAAAAATTAATGTTTCTCTCCCTTCCTTCCTCTGCCTCTCTGTAAAAAAATCAATGAATAAATTTTAAATAAGAAGTAAAAACATAACAGAAGGAACAATTAGAATTTTATATTGAATAATATCCACTTAGTTGAATAAAAAGCAGAAATTATTCCCTAAATCACTCTTTGGAGAATGATCTTCCTCTTTGTTTGGGTCCAGTGGGGTCAGTGATGGTGTCATGGAAGGAGTGCTTGTGTGGGTGACAAGGTCTCCCTACCCAACAGCCTTGGAACTGCAAACCCTCCTGGACACTCTGTCCCCATTCTAAGGGAAATTCAGATCAGTCTTAGCGGACAAATGACCTTGGCTCTTCCTCTAGAATGATAGAAAAGGGGCCATCAAGAGAGTAACAGAAGAGATAGTCTGCATTTGAACATAACGGACTCAGGTGCTTTACTTAATTATTTCACAATACTTTTTAAAAATAGGATGTGTACAAATCAAAGAATTATTCAGGTGAAAGGTATGTCATGTTTTTGAGTTTTCAAAGTGAAGGTAACTTTTAGTGGGTCCATTACCTATTATTAAAAACTTAAATATAAATGGCTGCTTTTATAGTGGTAGAGTCTTATGTACTAAATAGCATGTGGCTAGCAAATACCACCAAACGCTTGGTCTACAAGAGTCATCATGTAATCAAAGTCAAGACAATGTCATTTTTCAAAAAAATAAAAATCCACTTTGATGGATACTAGAAAGAATATATGGGGAGTAGATTTTCTTCATATGAATATTACTCTGTATGCAAATCACTAAGGAAAAATGTGTTTATGCAACATATTCATTCAATATTCAGTTATTTGACCATATACAAAAATAAAAATCATGTTTCACTGTTTTAACTATTTGATAAATATAAATAAAATTTTAATAGTTTTATATTTTTAATCTAAATAATACAAAATCTTACCTAAAAAATGAAAGCACATTTTAGATAATTAATCTCAATTACAAGATGTACTTGGTAAACAATTCTCATTTTTCTAAATGAGAAATAACACTGTTCAAAAACACTACAGTAAATTGTATTGATTGTTTTGCCTAAAGTTATTTTTTGAAAGTCAATGTAAAATAAATGATAAATTGCAACTTCAATCCACATGACTATCTAATGCTTTCAGATTACTAAACACACACACTTACATATACATGGAGAAGTTTGCTTTTAAATTGTTTTTGGTAAGAAGTTGCAACTATAATAAAGAAGACAATTCTTCCAAAATTCACCCTACAAATTTAATGTTTCTAATCAAAAACAGCATTTTTAAAATAATATATGTAATCTAAAAATTTATTTGGAAAAATAAGTATTTAACATGGCTAGGAAAATCCTAGATTAAGACAGTAATAAAAGTATAGTAATTAAAGAGTAATTAAAGTTATAATCAAGTTACTGGGAAAGTAGTTAAGGAGCTGCCTTTCATCATATTTCTCTATCTTTACAGGGAAAAGGACAGCAGGCACCATGGCCAGCGTGGCCGAGTCGGTTAGGCACTGTCCAGCAAAGCAGTAGGTCACCAGTCCAGCTCCTGGTCAGGGCACATGCCAGAGCTGTGGGTTGAGTCCTAGGTAAGGGGCTCATAGCAGAGACAACCAATCCATATTTGTCTCCCTCTCTCTCTCCTCCCATTCCCCTCTCTCTAAAAGCAAATAAATAAAATCTTTCTTTTAAAGAGCATGGGACTGAGGAATCAGACATATCTGGGGCCTTGTAACTTTAAACAAGTAATTTTTTAAAAAGATAGAAAGAAAGCAGGTAACCCAAGCATAATCTCTTTGCAAATATGCTAAACATAGATTTCTTTCTAAATAAATTAATGGTATTTGATAAGGGAACAGTCCTTATCTATGGCTTCTTTTAGTGAGATATCCCTGGTTTCAAACTGCTCATGGTAAACAATTCTGAAATTCTGGAATTTATTTTTCCAACACAGCTTCCTAGAAAATGTTATATAAGCTATAAAACTGAGTATAAATGAAGATGCTTCAGAAAATTGAGTTGGCTTCTTCTATTTAGATGATATATTTATACATAGTACTAACCATATATTATATAGGCATTTCCAATATGGTAGGATAGGATCTGAAGATGTATTTTCAGATTCCAGGACCTCTCTCTCACTTGTCTGTACAACCTAGTATTCTAAGAGAAACCAGGACCCAGTGGAGAAATATTTAACTCCATGGATGGAACTAGATGAAAAGACAATGAGGCTGGAACATCTTTTTTGGCCAGAAAGAAAGAAAATACACAAAGATTGATGGGGCTAGTCAAAGAAACATAGGAGTCAGCTTAAAGAGTCTCCCATGACCAAGCCTGGGGCAACTGAATGCAATAGGAATGCATGAGTCCACACAGATATAGGTCCATAAATGGGTTAAAAATGGATCAGTAAATGGAGAAAAAAATTTTTACAAAATAACCAGAGGGTAGGTGGGAGGGGACAATGGGGTAAAGGGGGAAGGGCTTTCAGGAACAAATATAAAGGACACATGGACAAAACCAAGCGGGGGGAATCAGGGGAGGGAGGTGGGAATGGCTGGGCTGGGGGTAGTGGTGGGGGAAAACGCAGACAACTGTACTTGAACAACAATAGAATAATTAATAAGTGAATTAATAAAAGAATGATAAAACTGCAATTAGGTGATCATCCTAGTAAAATTCCATCAAAAGTACAAAGGGTGCAAAAACTAGTGGGTAAAATTCAATTGAGGTCAGGATTTTACATACTCTCAAAATATCTCTTCACAAAATATTAATTGATAACAAAGGAAACAAAAGTATAGAGACTCATGACACCATGTCCAAATCAATGAGATGCAATTTAAAAAAAGCAATATTGGTGATGTTACAGAAAAAGAAAAACATAACGTTCAACCAATCCAAATTTGGGAACATTATAAAATAATTGAATTATGATTTTTAAAATATAGATGTCATAAAATTCTGGGAAAGATTAAGAAATCATTTCAGTTTGGTAAACACCACAAAGAAGTAACAGCTGGGTATGATATGTGATTCTGCATTAAACTGACTTTTATTATGAAAGGTGCAACTGGGACAGTGGGCCAAGAATAAGATCTCTGAGGGAGGGTATACTGTTGCCTTTGAGATTCTTGCAAGCTTGTGTGAGTTTGAAACAGTGTATTTCTCACAAAGAAACAATTTGGAAAAGACTGCTGGAGAATAAGCACCACTACCACCAAAACAATATGCAAAGTGCACATTCAATTTTCACTGAAGTGTGAATAGTCATTTGCACTATTCTCAGAACATCGATACTGAAACCTGCATGATACATTTCAGTATATAACCATATTACACAGAAGCTATAATTTCAGAATATAGATAATAATCATAAATTTACTAGTTAAAATATATATTCAACTAGCCATTCAGATCCAAGTCTGCTAAAGCATTTTTCCAATCATAGCATATTGAAACTAGCAAAGTGTTGATAATTGTCCATTTTCATTTAGTAGATTATATTTTCACAATACTAAATTATGCACTATGAATTTTGATATGAAATTTGTTATAAAATTCAGAAAATGCAACCTTCTAAGCAGAAGACTACCTGGAGAGGACCAACAGAGGCACCATTCACATGAGTCCTGAAGACCAGGGTGCATTTTGGTCCCGTGAGGGAAAGAACAGGAGTGAGGGCCTCAGCCGTGTCACCTGATTCTCCATTTGAGCGATCAGCATATGGGTACCAGCCATCTGTGGTATTTCCTGGGAAACGATGAGGTATTTATTAAAAATAATAATAATAAAATATAGCTTGTCATTGATCATATCATTCTATAATTTTTCCTAAAACTAGAACAATGTGTTATAGCATAATGATGACTCATAACCTTCAGTAGAAATAATTCTTCTATTTTGATTTTGAATCCATGTATCAACTGGTGCAATGTATACAAGTTATTGTGAAGGTTTAAGTTACCAGCTCTAATCTGTAATAACTCAGCTGACTTATTTTTATAATGATACTACCAATACTCTGAATACATTTGCAGAGCTTATTTTCACGTAGGTAAAATGAGACCCTAAAGCACTGAATACCTTAGGAAGAAGCATTAAAAAAGAATATATGTATATGTATGTCTATGCGTATATGAATATGTATGTGTATATGAGTATACATATGAATAAATAAAGCATAAAAACAGAAAGGAAACTGGCTGAGGGCTCTGCCCGTGGGTCTAAAAGGATCCAAGTTCAAATTTATTCTCTATTAATTTAGCTCAGTTTTACTTAAACATATTTTAATAAGCTGGTAGACAATTTTTAGTGTTTTTTTCTCTCCTAGTTCCAAATAAAAGAGGAAAATAATGATGGAAACCATTAAATATAATGTAATCTTGCCATACAGGACAGAGTGCAGGCCTCCACTTTAATTACCAATTCAAAAAAAGATAAGAAAATGTTAAAGACATTTTAGGTAACCCTTAGCTTTTTTAAATTAAATTTATTGGGATGGCATTGCTTAATAAGATTATAGAGGTTTCAAGTGTACATTTCTATGACACATTCCTCACAATTTGGGCATTCTGGTATTTTTTCTTTTAACTGATTAGATTTTTTTACCACTTTCTCATGTAAATACAATATTAGATTGCATAGAGTTTAAACTTGCTAGTTATTAAAACTGATTTATTTTGAAAGTTTTATAATTTGAGCAAAGAAATATGAATCATTAATAGCAAGTGGAGAGAAAGACAGAAGTGCTCATTTGGTCCCCACTTATTTCCTGGGAGAAGCCTTCCACTGGTTCCCGTCCAGGGCACTGGGAACATGACCGTGAACAAAATACACAGGGCTTGACCTCTGGCCTCATCATTTACTATGTGGGTGAAGCTTAGGTAGGTTACCTAACCTCTTAGAACATATTTATTTCTTCATTTGTAAAGTGGAATAGTTCCGTGTGTGGCCTTAGTAGAAATTAGAAATAAAATGAATGGACAATGTAATACAACGCCTGCCATATCTTATATGTTTAATAAATGGTAGCTGTGATTTGTGGTTATGTTTCTGTCATTAGTTACTGCTAATGTAATAAAGGGTTTAGTGTCCTGCAAACCATAGAAGGTATAAATTATCACTGCTACAATTCTGGCAATGATCAAAGCATCTAGTCCATGGTTCAACAGGAGGTACCTGTATTGATTTCCCAGAAAGTACACAATAAGAATAACAGTCATTTTTAATTTTTCCAATCGATTATAACTCATGAAGATTCAGTCACAAGAATAAATATAAAATAAATTGTTAAAACAAATTCTTTTAATTATATATCCCTGAAATAGTCCCTCATCTGTGAGGAAAAGAAGGGAGACATAACAAAAGATCAGCTTGAAAGTTTCAAACAACAAAACTGCATCTGTGTGTTTACACTGTGCTGTGAGAGCAGTTACCAGTGCAGCAGTATGTCTTCAATGAGGGGGTACCCCTCCGAAAATGGAATTATCTTCTGTAGATGGGCCCCTTGTAGTTAGGCTTCCCAAACTAGGTGAGTTCCTAGGAACCCATCTGTATCAGTGTGCCAGCTGGCATTGTTGTGAGAGGCTGCATTTGGCTTCCGTGAATTTTTCTGAAGACTGTTTCAAAGCATTTGCCCATTTCATGATGGGTGATTTATGAGCACACCTGCCCACACTGTATTGAGTGTTCAGCATTGTTTGACCCAAAAACGGCATGACCCTGCATGCCCCACCCTCCCTATTCACTGATTTCACTGTGAACAACTTCTCTTTTGCTCCCCTTGATGAAAACAAGTCTCAAAGGGAAAGGTTTTGCTGAGGTGGAAGAGGTGAAACAGAAAACAGCAGAAGTGCTAAAAGGCATCAAAATTGACAAATTCAAAAACTGAGCAGTGGAAAAAACATCTCGATAGATGTATGGCATCAAATGGAGAGTGCTTTGAAGGTGACTGAAGTTTAAACATGTAAGAACATAAATATGCAATTTTTTATAAATAAATCCTGTTTTTATGGGTTCCCCCTCATCTGCATTAACTCAGGGCACATGATGTATGTTTGATTCTTAATGGAAAAATGAAGAATCACAAAAACACTTGCCTGTATCTGGGATGAGATTACTCAACCATGTACCTGCAAAGAAAATCAACTTCCCTCCTACACGTAAAATGAGTACGGCTGTAATGATCACACCTAACTGTGCTGTCACCCATAAAATACCAGCATTGCTCTACCAACCTTCATACTGGCTTTTGCCACATAATGCATAAAGTACAGTGTTTTATAAAAATCATCTTTTCTAATGAAATACATCATAAACCACATAGTAGTAAAGCTTTGAAGAAAGTAGTGTTATACACACACATGTTGCAAATGTAAAGAGCCCTGGTGATGATGAACAAGTCACTAAAAAGTCATTATAAATAAGAGAATGGTTTGAAGTCCATGCTATTTTAAAGAAAATCTAGGTCTCATCACCAATCAGTCTCTGAGTCTTACCATTATGCGATTGAAATATTACCCCTCTCCATTTGACAATCTCCTGGGTATTTACACTAATTAAAATAAAAAGAAAAATACACTTGCTTGATAAAAGTAAAATGTTATTAAGTTAAGTCAATTGGCCTTTGATCTCGTAAATGTACCAAATTAGAGACATATTCTCCATGTTTATTCTTTAGGTTGAGATATACCTTTTGATTCATTATAATACTGTAGGCTATTTTAACATAACTGATCAAAATTACCTACAAAGAGCTGTTGTAAACTTTATTAGCTTCACGAATAGCAGAAATACAAAGTCTTCAATAGCATCATTCTAATAGCCTGCACAGTCTTACCCTAGCGCAGGCAGCGAACCACTCTAGTGATGCGGATGGCTCCCGGCCTCCCCACTGAACTCCGCTGTGTGTGATGAATAAAGTCCCTGACCCACCAGGTGCCGGAGCAGGATTCTTAAGCCAGATCAAAGTTCTGGTGTGGTGTTTTTAGAATATAAATCAAGGAAAAAATAAACTTTCTTCCGTGAGTGTCAAACCTCCTTCCTAGCTGACTCTCCAAGGTTTGAAACCAGTTCTGTTTAACTCAAAAATTGTATTTGACCTTATTGATTCTTTCTAAAATGACCTTCTGACTCTGCCATCCTGCTGAGAAATCTTCACTACATTTTTCCTGACTCAGAGTGAGATTCCTGAGCTGAACTACATGTTGGCAAATAACAAGCTTCAGTAAATTCTACATTGATTCACTACATACACTATCCAGATCAACTGACTTTTTAAAATCAAGACTTTATTGGCAGAGGAAGCAGTGAATTAATTTGCATTCTAGTGCAAACTCTTTATCTAGTCATGTATTTGTAACTGACAATCCACATATTGGCAGTTCACTGGTGCAAAACCAGGGTCAGAGGATGTCTCCTATAAAGGCCGTACACTAAATATTCTAGGCTTTGTGGACCACACGGTCTCTGTTACAAAGATTCAGCTCTGTCTTTGTAGCACAAAAGTATCCATGGGCTGCTTAAATGAAGAGTTATATTCACGTTCCCATAAAAAACTATATTTACAAAAACAGGCATCAGGCCATAGTTTGCTCACCATTGTTCTGTGGATAAAGTCTCACCTCATGGGGATCTGAGGAAAAACTTTATGTCCAAATATCTGGCTTAAACTTTAATACACTACCTCACTCAGACACCCAGATTTATACTCATTCTGTATGCTCATGCAATTACTCTAATACATCATGCGCTTTCATTTTTTTCCTGTCTCCCTTACACCAGTGTTTCTTCTGGACATACTAATCACCCTGTTCTCAGTCTCTCCTCCTCACTGTCTGATTTATCCTCCACAACATATTTCAAGTATACTCTCACTTCCAAGCCTTCTTAGAATTCCTAGACTCCAAACTCCTTAATTCAAACCTCCTCATTAAAAATTTCACAGCATTTATATAAAACTTTTAAAAGATTTTTCATATTAGCTTTTCATTCATTGAACATGAAGCGATATGCCCTGCTAGATTACAAATACATTAAGGCACACATTTTAACTAATTTGTCATAGTATGTAGTGTACCTTGCAAAGTGGTCTAAACTTCACTGATAATAAACATTTCCTGTATCTGTTGCTAAGTAAAAGTAGTTTAAAATTCCTTCTATTCCACATCAAATTCTCCTTTACAAATGCAAGGTATCTAATTTTTTTTTAAAAAAAGGACTTACAATTTTAGAAGAGTGCTTTTGGATTTTTCTTTCCTAGTCTCATAAAATAAAAATGAAGTGATGAACATCTGTTGAAATTTTATATAATTACCTAGGGGATTTACCAGCTCAAAATTCAATAACAAAAGTACCAAAGCCAACTATTTTAATCAGGAGCATCCTCAGGTCCTGTTTCAGTGTATATGACATTCACTGGAAAACAATTTTTTGTGAGGCAATTAGAAAAACTTCTAAAAAACTAACTTAAAAATTTTTAAGTCTAAGAAATTAAACAACGCAGCTGTATTTATGTATCTTCTAATTCTAAAACAGGATTTTAAAAGGCTCACTAACCTAAGTATATTCTTTATAAAATGGATTTTAAGCCAAAAAAGCACTGGTTTAAGATGTGTAAAGTAAAACCCTGCAGCCTTTTAGATCAGTCTTTACATTAGTGTGCCTTTAAATTAGGGAGAATTAAACAACTGTGTGTCGTCAGAAACTCACAGCAGACCTGAGAAGCAGGGTTGTAAGCATTACTGCTTCA